TGATGTTTAGTCGGAATCTCCCTTCTTGTAACTTGGAAGACATTGGTTTGAGTCCTACCCTCCAGAGCAGGAGAAAACAAGCATGTTCGCTCTTCCATGTGATCCCAACATTAACTGACTACACCCATAAAATTTCCCATAATGCTCTGTGGTACGCAGGAGGTTCTTTGGCAGTCGACTCAGTGTGCAAAGGGTTCTCTAAAAGAATTTAGAAGCACATTTTTTAGAAGGCCATCTGTCTAATTCTTCTGCGGTTATTGGCCTGGATCCTATAATAAGGGAAGGAAAGTCCTTAAAAGGAAAGTTTCCTTTCCCTTGTAGCTGTCCCTGAAAACCCTTTTCGGAATGTCAGAAGGTACCTCTCTCCTGAGATATGGGGCATGAAGAGCTACTGCAAGGAATTGCTCAAAACTGGGATCCTGCCCCCAAAACAGGTTTCCATCTAAGAAAATTTTCTAGGTCACTGATATATTATTATATAAAAAAAAGATTTGGGATTAAGCCCATTAAACACAGTGAGATTTACTTCTGAGTAAAGGATTATATACTCAATAGCTTTTTAAAGGCATGTTAATAATTCAGCAGAGTGTTTTATTAAGTGGGGCATGAGCCTTCAATGTGTAATCAGAGTAATTTTAGGAAAAGATACCAAGTAGAGTAGAAACATTTCCGGTTTATCTTGTCCCTTACAATAAAAACCCTTAGATTAAAGGTAAAGGGACCCCTGACCGTTAGGTCCAGTCCTGGACGACTCTGGGGTTGCGACACTCATCTCGCTTTACTGGCCGAGGGAGCTGGCATACAGCTTCCAGGTCATGTGGCCAGCATGACTAAGCCGCTTCTGGCGAACCAGAGCAGCACACAGAAACGGCGTTTACCTCCCCGCCGGAGCGGTACCTATTTATCTACTTGCACTTTGACGTGCTTTCGAACTGCTAGGTTGGCAGGAGCAGGGGCTGAGCAACAGGAGCTCATTCCGTCGCGGGGATTCGAACCGCCGACCTTCTGATTGGCAAGCCCTAGGCTCTGTGGTTTAGACCCCAGTGCCACCTGTGTCCCTAGGCCATCCTCAGATGGTCTAATTAGACCGTACAGAGATTCCCACCCCTGAAGAAAATCTATAATTTCTAATATGATGATTAAAATGAACACATAAACTTACCCTTTCTCTTATGACTTTGTGAACTGGTGGCAGTTTGCAAAAACATTATAGTACTGTGGTTGGCAACTCTGTGTACTTACAGACAACTCCCTAGAAACATTTGGAACAGAGAGTTACCTATTCATCTGTTATCTGTCTTCCCAGCTAATACTCCTCTTTCAGTTTCTTTGTTTATACAAGCGTTAATAAACTGCCAACTCATGAAAAATATTGTGACTGTGTATACAATTAAATGAACATAATAAAACACAGAAGCAATGGCCAACACTCAATCAAATTAATTCCATTGCAATGCTTGGAGAAACAAACGTTTCCAGCAGGTGACAAAATACTAAATATTGTAGGAAACATCCCAACTCGTGTTTCTCAAAGTGGCTTGCAAACCTAAAAACAACTTGCAGTGATAAAATATTCCATAAAACTTCTCTTAGGGAGGAACAAGTTATTAACACAAAGCGCTCTCTCCCCTCCCTGGCTTTTGCAACTGGTTGCATTTGTTTCCCTGCTGACATGTCAGAAGCAGGTCTCCTATTGTCCTGAAGCCTTTGCTGAGGCAGCGTGAGTCAAATGAGCAGATGACTCTTGTACAGTAATGAGATGCACTCCTCATAATATAGTAATATGTTTTCATTTGGATCGTATTGGTAAACAATTGTTTAAATGCCAAAATAGAACACCTAGCTAGGATTGACTGAAATGATTATGTATATCCTTTTTTTTAAAAAGTGCTTTTGTTGTTGTGTATTTCAGTTCACTCAAAAGATGCTAGACAATTTTTATAACTTCGCTTCGTCCTTCGCTGTCACCCAGGCCCAAATGACACCCAACCCATCGGAAGCTTTTATTCCTGCAAATGTAGTTTTGAAATGGTAAGGAGATTGCCGGGGGAGGACTGTGCCTTCACCAACACAAGTCTTGGTAGGACTGAATTACTGGTGCGGTAGTAACATTATCCCTAACTGTAAGAGTTACCTTTTTAGTATAGCAGTAGTTGAATTTATACTGTGTATAACTATTTCATGTATTTAGATCAGGCCTTGTGAATAGCCCTTCAGCCTGGTTACCTACAGCAAGTCTGATATGCTTCCAGACAATCAAGACCAGGAATTTAACAAAAAGCGGACACAATATTTTAAAAATTATTTTTGAAAAATACATATTAGGATTCCTGAAGGAATTGCATTGCACCCAGCATAACTGTTCAAGAGCCAGTGGTGTTGAAGAGGAGAAGCCTCTCTGAAAATCCTGATGTCTTCCCTTTGCTTGCAAAGGAGAAGGATTGCATAATGCTCAGCAAAGTAGCTAGAAGGTGGCTTTTATGTGACTTTATTTGTGCTTATCTTTTTTTCTTCTTGTAGGTACGAGAATTTCCAAAGAAGATTAACTCAGAATCCTTTGTTTTGGAAAACATAATCTGGAGCCAAGTTCTCGCTAATGTGCGCTATAGCAACTGGTCACAACTTAAAAGATGCAAAAGATGGAGCCTACGAAATAAATCTGGATTGGGCGATTAAAAGTCTGAGCAGAATTGGGGGAGGGCAGCTTTTGTAATATTTATGGGGCATTTGTTACAAATTAAAGCTCTAAAAAACAGTCATTGCCGTTTTTCTTTTTTTAGAGTTAAAAATGTGGAACCACAACAGGAGCTTCTCATTTTGAATTGTATGGAAACTCTTTCCATCATGTTAACGAGCAAATAGGTCCTTGTTTGGTGGTTCTTAACGATTTAGGTTCCGGCACTGTTGTGCGTATCAAATTGCAAATAAAAGTTGGTCTGAAGCCTTGCGCCACTTTGAAAATACGCTGTTAATAGGTTTCCAGTGTAATTCTGACTTAGTACAGATAGAACAGTTCACAAATTCATACAAGCATAGGGTTGGATGGGTCCCTGAGGATAATCTAATCCAACCCAAATATACAGCGGTTCCAATACGGGAATCGAATCTGCAACCTTGGCATTGTTATCAGCACCATGCTCTAGCCAACTGAGCTATCCAGTAGATATGATTAGCTCCTGGTGTATTGTGTCTGAACTCTGCCCTTCATTTCTTTCTATGTAATATCTTGGTCTGTATGTATTTGCCTGTTGGGGTTCACAACTAATAACTTCCCTATGCCCAGAGTCCATCCAGACATAGTTGTCTGAGAAACAGGTCACATAGCTACTGGTGACCTATCTTGGTTCTTTTTTCCAAGGTTGTCTGGCGAGAAGAGGATCTGTCAGTGGTACAATTTCCTGTTTAAGAAGGGTTGCCGAAACAGCTGTTGCAAGGTGTTGCCATTGCAGATCCTGCTGAACCTGTCACCCAGTGGGTTGCCAAACACTGATCCACGAGCTTCATTCCAGTAGTCCACAGAGTGTCTGCGGATTTGTGGTTGAAGAAGACAGATGACACATTAAAGATCCATCTTGGTTTTTAATCCAATGTGCTACTGCTTCTTTCGTTTCTTGTATATCTTCCACAGGGTTTATTTAAAATACATTACACTGGTACCTCGCAAGACGAATGCCTCGCAAGACGGAAAACTCGCAAGACGAAAGGGTTTTTGGTTTTTTGAGTTGCTTCGCAAGACGATTTTCCCTATGGGCTTGCTTCGCAAGACGGAAACGTCTTGCAAGTTTGTTTCCTTTTTCTTAATACCGTTAATACAGTTGCGACTTGACTTTGAGGAGCAACTCATAGCACGCGGTGTGGTAGCCTTTTTTGAGGTTTTTGAGGACTTTGGTGATTTTTGAAGCTTTTCCAAAACTTTTCCGAAACCGTGCTTCGCAACATGAAAAAATCGCAAAACGAAAAAACTCGCGGAACAAATTAATTTCGTCTTGCGAGGCACCACTGTATATAAGAAATAAAAGAAGCAATAAAAATACAATTAAAAACAATGCAGCATCTATCACAGCACAGTATGATTGCTGCAACAGGCATAATTGTCGCTTAAGTGATCTGTCTCGCCAGTTTTCAAGTGGCCCATGCGGGGTGGGGGGGGGCGGATTGAGAATAACTAACCCAAGACTTCCTCTCATTCATGGACCTTGCATTCTTTTCTTTTTTTTATAAAAAAATTATTAATTTTCATGAAATTATAAACAAAACAAACAGATAAACAAAAAAACATAGATCATAACCTTATTAAAATTACACTTATTAACATTGTTAAGTGACTTCCTCGCTTCCCCTTGGTTGAATTTCCATGCACTTCCTTTTAACGGTTTTCCAAATCAAAGATCTTATGAAATTTCACTTGAACATTAACATCCTTATATCCTTGAATTTTAAAATTAGACATTTTGATTCGTCACTTAACTTATATAAGATCCTAAGCCAATTAAATATCTGCAAGCGATTTCCAATTAATTTAATTTTACATATTTAACTAAATAATCATTAAATTTTGTCCATTATTCCTGGTACTCCTCCTCCTCCTGGTCGCAGACTCTTCCGGTTAGGTTGGCTAGCTCCGAAAACTCCATCATCTTCATCTGCCATTCTTCCATCGTAGGTAGTTCTTGCGTTTTCCACTTGTTCGCTAATATAATTCAAGCAGCAGTTGTGGCATACAAAAATAGTTTAACATCTTTCTTGGGCAATTCTAAACCTCATGGACCTTGCATTCTTGCATTGTTTCTGTTCCAATTGGACTTCTCAGCCATCCTCCCTAGCTTGTTTTGCACACATTTCCATCTATACATTTTTTACTGTGAATAAGCCTGCCTAAAATGTTTTTTTTAGATGCCGAGTGTTACTTGGGAGGTCCGACTGCCTCCGGGCTTTACATATGTGCTTGTAGTAAATATTTAAGGCATCTCTCAAATCCATGCTTTCTTTCAGTCTTAAGAAGAAGACATATTTTTGCTCTCATGATGGTTTAGCCAAAAGGGACTGAGTAAAATGAATTTATTTTATTACTACTTTATAACCAGCATCTATATTAAACCAGGGTTCCAATACTTCATTTTCTGAAGAAATTGCTGTCGATGCCTTTTCTATATTTCATTATTAAATAACCATCAGCCATAAGGCAGGTTTATATTATTTATAACGTAAGGATGTGATTTCTGATGCAGGATTTCAAACTGGGTGTTTCTCTTGCCTTTCTAGAGCTATGCAGTGGTCTGATTCATTTTGCCTTTTTCTCTTTACCTTCTCCAGTATGTACACTGTTAGGAAAAACAAATATTTTCCATAAAGTGTTTTTAAAAAGAAACAAATCTTGTGTTGTTACCACTTCAGACACTCCCACTTCATAGAGGAAACATATGTGGGTGAATAAAGATAGGCAAGTGTGTTTTATTTTTAAAGTGGCCCTATTTATACTGATACAGTATTATGAACATTTGAGGAATACACAGCTCTTAATAATGCAACTTTTTCCCCATAGATGCAATACGTTACTCAAAAGCATCCATACCTTGCACCAGCAGAGGTTAATTCAGTAAGAACTGCCAATTCTGTTACTCTGGAATCATCTTGGCAACAATGGATTCTTTTTAAACATGCATTTCATTTGTAAAATCAAAATATTTGTAAGCTACTTTGAGTATTATTTTCATATAAATATTAAGCCTTAACAACTGATCCAATCCATTAAAAATGTACTTAAAATACAAATACACGTGATTCATAGTACATGGATATGACTGGAAAGAAAAAACCAGTGGAGTCGGGCAAGACAAAAAGGCTAATATAACAGACATGAAATTAAGTTGCAAACCAATTTTAGTCTATATGAGCGTCTAATACTTCTTGTTCTTAAATCTACACACAAGTTATCCTATTGCAACATCTGGAAAATGAGATTCCAAGGAGTCTGTGGAACTCCCTGCCTATTGAAATCATGCAAGGCACTTTCCCTGCACTCATTTTAGCACCTGCTAAAAACATTCTTGCCTACCCAGGTGCTTAAAAAGTTGAGGAAATTTTAATTAGTTTAACTTTTGCATGTTTTAAAAGTATGGTCGTGAATTTTTCTCCATTTAATATTTATCTTTCTGTAAACCACTCTGAGCGTTTTTCCCTTTTCTCCAACCATCAAGCGGTGTATGAATTTTATGATAAAGTAAAATAAAATAAAATAGACGGTACCGTACTAAAACAACCAGTGATTTTGTTGCACCATCACAGCCTGCAAGGACCTGGTGCCTAATTTGCTAAGCACCGCCCGGGGCGGAGAGCCTTTATTGTGACGTCTCCCTTAGCAACCGGGAACCTGCGTCCTAGCGACGGCCCCGCCCCCTCCCATTCATGGCCCGGCCCCCTCCATCCTGCATTGTGGAGGCGCCGCTGTGCGCCCAGGCGAATTTTCCCCTTTCTGCCTTCGCCTCTCAAGAAATCGGTTTGCTCCTGCACTGATGCGGAGGAGGAAAAGGGGAGAGGAGGGGAAATGGGCAGCGCTTTGAAGGCTGGAGCACGTAAAAGGGAGTGAGAAGGAGCTATGTGACGGCCGCCGCCCCCACACCCAAGGAAAACCTCCCCAAACCAGCCCAGTCTACCTAACTTTCTGCTTGGTCTTTTTTTCTCTCTCTCTCCTCCTTTGGTAAAGGCAGAAAAGTGGGAAAGAGGATTCGAAAATGCTGGACACCATCCATGCCACGATCTTGGAGGGCGGGAGGAACGTCTTCCTTACACTTCCCAAGCTCACGACAGAAGGTAAGCTCTGTTTCCCCGCTGGGTTTTTACAGTTCAGCCTTCTGAATGAGCCACAAGGCTAATATGCTGCAGTGCAAATTGCTTTTATGAATGACTGTACCTGGGAAAGCCTCTGTTGTTGCATGTAAGAGAATCCCAGATCATATACATATACATATACATATACATATACATATACATATACGACTGGAAAGAAGAAACCAGTGGCATCGAGCAAGCCAAAAAGGCTAATATAATAGACATGAAATTACACTGCAAACCAATTTTAGTCTATGTGAACATCTAATACTTCTTGTTCTTAAATCTACACAAAAGTTATCCTATTGCAACATCTGGAAAATGAGATTCCAAGAAGTCTGTGGAACTCCCTGCCTATTGAGATCAAGCAAGGCACGTTCTGTGTACTTTTTTCAGCACCTGCTAAAAACATTCTTGCCTACCCAGGTGCTTAGAAAGTTGAGGAAATTTTAATCTGTTTAACTTTTAGTTAACTTTTAGTTTACACACACACACACACACACACACTTTCTGTTTTACAATTCTGAATACTCATTTAAACATCCTTTAAACATCTTCTATTTCTGTGGTTCATTTTGCATACCATGAATCCCTACATATTTTATGTAAACTGAACCATTCAGTATTCCATCACTGCACCCATCAAAACTTATTTTGAATTTATCTTAATGCTACCAGTGTTTTCAAGTGTACACAATCCCCCCCATATATTCAATAGACATTTTCCAATCTTCTCTAAATGCATGTCCTTCTTGTTCTCTTATTCGATATAATTAGCTGTGCATATTCCATCAGTTTAAGTTGCCATTCTTCTTTAGTTGGGACCTCACTCTTTTTCCATTTTTGGGCTAACAAAACGCGGGCCACAGTAGCAGCATACATAAATAACCTTTTTTGACACCTGGGAATTTCCATCTGAATTATCCCCAACAAAAAGGACTCTGTTTTTTTTTTGAAAAGTACTTTTAAACATTTTTAAAAATTCATTATGGATTATTTCCCAATACTCTTTTACCCCTTTACAGGTCCACCAGATTCAATTTCCAGATTCAATCTCTGGGGGCTGGAAGTGTCTCCTGCCTGAAAGCCTGCAGAACGGCTGCCAGCCAGAGTCTACCCTGTAAAGAGCACTAAGCTAGATGGATCAATTGTTTGACTCCATTTAAGGCTATGTCCTTATCTTACCTGCCTCCCCATCCCCTTCATAACCTCCTTTTCCCCATAATACTTGAGATCAGCTAGGAAGATAGGAGGCTGCTTTATACTGTTAGACCACTGGCCCATCTAACTCAGTATTGCATGCACTGACTGGCAGCAGCTCAATAGGATTTCAAGGAAGGGAACTCTCCTAGGTGGAGATGCTGGGGATCGAACCTGAGACCTTTTGCATGCTAAACAAACTACAATTCCCAGGATTCCTTGGGGGGAATTAATACACTTTAAATGAATGGTGTGTATGCAGCTTGTGTATGTATTAAGCAGGCATGTTTATGTGTAGGTCTGGCCCCATCCCTTGGCCCACATTGGTTTCCAGGTGTCATCCGACAGCTTGGTGCTGTTCCCCTATACATACACTCCTGTCTTCCACTGCCTCCCACACTTTGGTCAAACTCATGCTGGTAGCTTCGAGAACACTGTCCAACCATCTCGTCCTCTGTTGTCCCCTTCTCCTTGTGCCCTCCATCTTTCCTAACATCAGGGTCTTTTCCAGGGAGTCTTCTCTTCTCATGAGGTGGCCAAAGTATTGGAGCCTCAGCTTCACGATCTGTCCTTCCAGTGAGCACTCAGGGCTGATTTCCTTCAGAATGGAGAGGTTTGATCTTCTTGCAGTCCATGGGACTCTCAAGAGTCTCCTCCAGCACCATAATTCAAAAGCACCCATTCTTCGGCGATCAGCCTTCTTTATGGTCCAGCTCTCACTTCCATACATCACTACTGGGAAAACCATAGCTTTTACTATACGGACCTTTGTTGGCATGACATATAGGAAGTCGGCCCTCAACGTTGATGCAGTGACCTGAATTCAGTTGCCTATAACATGGTTTGAGAAATCTCAGTAAGGGCCTTTTGCAGCACTGCATTTAAAGTATTCCACTGCAAAATTGCTGGCTCCATTCAAGGCAAGAGAGTTGTTGAGGTAGCTCAGTGTTCCCTTCTGTTGCTGATATATCAGTCTAATATCAGTTGTGAAAGGGAAGTGGAATTGGCTTCTCACTGTCTGGAAAAGCGAGGAGTCACTATAGTAAGGAGTGATGGGAATTATAGCACAAACATCCCTTGAGGGCACCATGTTGGCTATTCCAGATGCAAATGCCCCATAGCAACAGCCAAGGTGATGTTTTTCCACCTTCGCCACATCAAGCAGTTGGTCCCTTACCTTTCCCGCCCCAACCTGGCCACAGTGATCCATGCAACGTTCACCTCCAGGCTGTAATTCGCTCTACGCAGGGCTGCCCTTGAAGCTGTCTCAGAAACTCCAGCGGGTGCAGAATGCTGCAGCGAGGCTCCTCACAGGGTCCCTGCCATGGGAGCATATTCACCCAGTGCTTTTCCAGCTGCACTGGCTCCCGGTGGAGTACAGGGTCAGATTTAAGGTGCTGGTTTTGATCTTTAAAGCCCTTCACAGCCTAGGACCCATGTACCTACGGGACCGCCTCTCCCGGTATGCCCCATGGAGGACCTTAAGGTCCACAAATAGCAACACCCTAGAGGTCACAGGCCCTAAGGAAGTTAGATTAGCCTCAACCAGAGCCAGGGCTTTTTCAACACTGGCTCCAGCCTGGTGGAATGCTCTGTCTCTTGAGACCAGGGCCCTGCAGGATCTGATTTCTTTCTGCAGGGCCTGTAAGACAGAGTTGTTCCACCTGGCCTTCAGCTTGGAATCAATTTGATTCCCTCCCCCTCCTCTTTTTTCCTTTCTCCTCCTGTGATGGAACTCCTATTTGGGGACTTCCCTGGCTTTTTTCTGGCCCATGTAGGACCAGTTTGGATAGTTAGCCTTGGTGAAGGCTTGACCTTTCCATCCCCCCCCAAATTTTTTGATTTGAGTTTCCATTGAAATGAGGCTGTATTTTAATGTTTTAATATTTTAATGTTGTATTTTAATCTTGTTTTTAAGTTGTATTTCAATCAGTTTGTTTTTGTATCAGGTGTTAGCCGCCCTGAGCCCAGTCTTGGCTGGGGAGGGCTGGGTGTAAATAAAATTTATTATTATTATTATTATTATTATTATTATTATTATTGCCTGTGGTTCCTTCCTTCCTTCGCTTTCCCTTTATTAACACAAGGCAGGATAACTCTGTATTTCTTTGCATTTCAGATATCCTTGGTATTTGGGGCACTGTTTCGGAATTTGTTGAAAAGCAACTTTCCATGAATAAGGTGGGAATTGTTTGTTCCTTTGTTTAAATGCTTGTTTTGAAAGATTTGGGCATTTGTGCATTCTGGTCAAAGCAGCCAGAGTGCGTGCAGATAAATTCTCATTTTTTGCTGATGTTTGGCGTGAACATGCTCACAGAAGGTGAATCCCTCTTGGAGGCAGTGCTATTTTCTGGAAAAAGAGGCGTGAGAAGTCACAATGAGCACCTTCCTCGTTATCTTAGAATGGCAATGGCGGCCACCTAAGAGGTGCCAGAACTGAACAAAGGCTTCCAATCTTGTTGGGTTCAGAAACGCACTTGAAACCATGGCTTCATATCCTGGCTTGTTTGGAAGCTGCTAACCATAGTTTCCTGGTTTTCACCTGATGGGAAGTTATGGCTAATACTCATGCAAAGGGAGGAGAAGAAGGGTTGTATTCGGGTGTACAAAGCCCATGCATATTGTGATTCGATGGTGCAAACAGGGCTTTCATGCCCAGAACCCTTCCAACAATCCTATAAGGTGAGCCCATCTAGTTCTCAGCGCTATCTACACTGACTCGCAACAACTCTCAAAGTTGCCAGCCCTACCTAGAAATGTCAAGGATCGAACCAAGAACCTTCTGAATGCTAAGCAGTTCTCCCAATCAGCTAAGGTCTTTTTCCAAATTTGTGGGTGTAGGGTAAAGGTAAAGGGACCACTGACCATTAAGTCCAGTTGTGACAGACTCTGGGGTTGCAGCGCTCATCTCGCTTTATTGGCCGAGAGAGCTGGTGTACAGCTTCCGGGTCATGTGGCCAGCATGTCTAAGCAGCCTCTGGCAAACCAGAGCAGCCACGGAAATGCTGTTTACCTTCCCGCCGGAGCGGTACCTATTTATCTACTTGCACTTTGACGTGCTTTCAAACTGCTAGGTTGGCAGGAGCAGGGACCGAGCAACGGGAGCTCACCCTGTTGCGGGGATTCGAACCGCCAACCTTCTGATCGGCAAGTCCTAGGCTCTGTGGTTTAACCCACAGCGCCACCCGTGTCCCTTGGGTGTGGGGTATGGCTTGCCTAATGTTTGATCCGACCTAAGATTTGAACTGGGGACTTCATAGCTCATGTTCTAAACCATTACAGTAGTCCAGCTGTGCCTTCTTTTTCCAGGGTGTCTTAATACCAGGGCTGGGGACGTTCTCCTTCTTGAGACAGAAGCTTGAAGTTGGTAATAACAAATACATCCTTATACAGCGGCCTGTGTTCCTTCTGTCTGAGAAACTTGCGCAGATCCATGGGCTGAAGTTTAACAAAATACACACTCCCGGTAAGAAATGGGGTTGTGGTGTCTGCTTTCCTCCATGCCCGTGTGTGCAGTGTACATTTTGCGGTGTGCAACCAACATAACACATGGTATTACGGAGCGAAAATGCAGCAGCGCTGAGGATGGCAGCAGAGTTATGGAAAGAATGGGAAGCAGAAACTAGTTTTTGCCCTAGGAACACAGGACAGTTTTATTTCATAGCTCATGGCCTGAGCCAGGGAAAAGCTGGTTGTGGTGAGCACCTATTGGCTAGCACTAGTGCCATCACCAACACAGGTGAGCACAGTACCCAGAACAGTTTTACAATTAGATTTTTGTTATGGGGAGGGGAGAGTAAAGTAAAGGGTCAGCGTATGCCAGTGGTGTTTGGCGCCAGGGGCAAAAGTGGAGATGGTAAGAGGTATAACCTTTGTACAGTAGGCTGCAAAAATATTGGGCTTCATGTTTCAGGTAAGGAAGATGCACCGCCACTGCGGTCAGGGACACATTCCAGCAAGGGAAAAGTACTTCAGGAAGGTGCAGGGCAAGGCCAGTGAGAGGTGTGGCCTGTGAAGGGGTCATGGCCTATGAATCAAAAGGGCCAGGTGGAGAGGCCTGGGGGCCACATCTCTCTTCTCCACCAACGGTCCAAGATGAGGGAGAAAAAAAGTTTTCTACTGGGAGAAATGTGTGAACAACCTATTAGTGTTCTAACATTTTACTCATAAGATGCATTGCAGAGTTGGGGATTCAAATGTGGCCCTTCAGGCCTTTCTGTTTGGCCCTCAGAACTATCCCCAGGCCCCACACTCTCCTCACTGGCCCTTGTTTCACATTTTGAGTGTACAGTTCCTCTCACTTGTCTGAACGGAGGATAGAGAGGTATATATAAAAAACTAGCCTCTTGTACAAAGGTAAAATTTACATTTGTTGCTCCGCCTACTTTTGCTTCTCGCCCCGCCCACCACTGGCAAATGGCCCTTGGGATGGACATAGTCTTGCTTCCTGTTCAGATGATTTCTCTCTTCACCGATTCTTTTCCTGCTGCCCTCCCCTAGGTGATATCCCAATTGTTCCGCTAAATTTCATAGTGTTATCCCTGGAGGGCCCTTTCAACAGGGAGACCGTGGAAGGATGTGTCCGAGAGACACTGCTGTCTTTCTCGCGGTCCATCGCCACCAAGCAGACGGTCGAGTTCACCTTCAAAGGGATCGGTGTTCTGGTGATCCGGGACAACAGGGTGAAAATGAAGTTTTACAAAGACTTCCTTCGTGCCATGGATGGGAGTGGGAATCTCCTGAAGGCGCTTACAAACGTACGTTGGTCATCGTTTCCTTCTGGGCCTGGATGTCATTCCTGTCTGATATTTTACCTGTTGTAATAATAAATAATTATTGCATTTGAGGCAGTTTCATTGTTTAGAGCATGGTGCTGATAACACAAGGAGGATGCAAGTGGCACTGTGGTCTAAACCACTGAGCCTCTTGTGCTTGCCGATCAGAAGGTTGGCGGTTCGAAACCCCACAACAGAGTGAGCTCCCATTGCTGTGTCCCAGCTCCTGCCAACCTAGAAGTTCAAAAGCACACCAGTACAAGTAGATAAATAGGTACCACTCCGGCAGGAAGGTAAATGGTGTTTCTGTGCGTTCTGGATTGCGTCCTGGTGTTCCGTTGTGCCAGAAGCGGTTTAGTCATGTTGACCACATGCCCTCAAAAGCTGTCGGTGGACAAACACCTGCTCCCTCGGCCTGAAAGCAAGATGAGTGCCACAACCCCATAGTCACCTTTGACTGGACTTAGCCGTCCAGGGGTCCTTTACCTGCTGATAACGCCAAGGTTGCAGGTTCAATCCCTGTATGGGACAGCTGCATATTCCTGGACTAGATGATCCAGAGGGTCCCTTCCAACTCTGTTTCTATGATTCTTCTACGATCCGTATTGTTGATGCAACACTAAGTACATTAGTTGGATGTATGTATAAAGGTAAAGGACCCCGGACGGTTAAGTCCAGTCAAAGGCGACTATGGAGTTGCAGCGCTCATCTCGCTTTCAGGCTGAGGGAGCAGGTGTTTGTCCACAGACAGCTTTCCAGGTCATGTGGCCAGCATGACTTAAACCGCTTCGGGCGCAACGGGACACCGTGACAGAAGCCAGAGCGTACAGAAACACCATTTACCTTCCTGCCGGAACGGTACCTATTTATCTACTTGCACTGGTGTGCTTTCAATCTGCTAGGTTGGAAGGAGCTGGGACAGAGCAATGGGAGCTCACCCCGTCGCAGGGATTCGAACTGCCGACCTTCTGATCGGCAAGCTTAAGAGGCTCAGTGGTTTAGACCACAGCGCCACCCGCTCCTCCTAAGAACATAAAGAGAGCCTGCTGGCTCAGGCCAATGGCCCATCTAGTCCAGCATCCAGTTCTCACAGTGGCCAACCGGGTAATCCACTGGGTAATCTGCAAGCAGGATTCGAGCACCAGAACCCTCTTCCCTCCTGTGGTATCCAGCAGCTGTGCTGCCTCCAACTGTGGAAGCACAGCCATCAGGGCTAGGAGCCATCGATAACCCTCCCTCCATGAATTTGTCTAATCCTCCTTGAAAGCTGTCCAATTCGGTGGCCTTCACCACCTTCTGTGGGATCAGGTTCCATAGTTTAAAGATGTGCTGCTCATGGTTCCTTCAAGATTGGATGACTGCAATGTGCTCTACATGGGGCTTCCTTTCCACTTGATCCAGAAGCTACAGACAGGGCAGGATGCTGCAGCATAATTGCTAATAGGAACGAGGCCTTGCCAGCATAGGACACCTGTGCTCAGAAGTCTACACTGGTTGCCGATTTACCACCAAGCCAAATTCAACGTGTTGCTTTTAGTATAGATGACCCCTGCCCGTACGGGCCAGTCGTGTCCAACTCTGGGGTTGCGTGCTCATCTCGCTTAAGAGGCCGGGAGCCAGCGCTGTCCGAAGACACTTCCGGGTCATGTGGCCAGCGTGACGAAGCTGCTCTGGCAAGCCAGCACCAGCGCAGCACACGGAAACGCCGTTACCTTCCCGCTATAAAGCGGTACCTATTTATCTACTTGCACTTGGGGGTGCTTTCGAACTGCTAGGTGGGCAGGAGCTGGGACTGAACGACGGGAGCTCACCCCGCCACGGGGATTCGAACCGCCGACCATGCAATCGGCAAGTCCTAGGCACTGAGGTTTTACCCACAGCGCCACCCGCGTCCCAATGCTTTTAGTATATACAAAGCCCTTAACAACTTGGGATCAGTTTACTTGCAAGATCATCTTGCCCCAAATGTGCTCCCCTGAGTGCTTTGATTTGCGGAACCGGCCCTGCTACAGGTACCACACAATACCTGTTCCACATTTGTAAGAAATCAGTCTTTTGGTGTAGCAGCACCTAGACTCCCTGCCTATTTTCCAGCACCCACTAAAAACATTTTTGTTTAGACAAGGCTACCCAGATGAGCCGAATGTTGATGTGCGTTCAAACCTGTTTTTAGTTTTGCCGATTTAATTTTCGAAAAGGTTTTAAATAGTTGCGTTCTGCTCTTTTACCAACAATTGTATTGTTTTATTCTCTTTGTAATCCGCTTTGAGTTAACTTGTTTTTCTTTTACAGTCAAGCAGTGTATATATATATAAAAATGAACCACCACCCCTTTTTTCGTTATAGAGGCCAGGCACAGGGGACTCGGTGTTGTCAGCCAAAGAAACCGCTCTTCCACATTCATGCACCGGTAACGTGGTTTTGTTTCCAAGGTGGGTAGGCTCACCTGATCTGCACATAGATTTCACCTGTCTCTCTCCTAAGGTGACTGCGAAACAGTTTTGATCTTTTTGAGATGGGATGGAAATTGCAAGTAGTTCAAAACACTGCTGCCGCCAGACTACTAGATGGTCCGGCTTCTGGGGAAGAGTGTCTGCAAGCCACAATGGATGTGTTCTGCCTCTGCCATCAGAAACGTTATTCCTCTGAATACCAGTTTTCTGAGAATTGCAGTTGAATAATTGTAGGGTGAATAATGATTGCAAGCCCCTCCGATTGCCTCAGGCTGTATCTTTTTACTTTTCAATTAGAGTAGATTTTACAAATGCCAAACAGATGCAGACGTAGAATAGGAACTAAAACAAAATAAACCACAGATACATGAATGCAAGGGAAGTAGTGACTAGAACTATTTATAACATAGGATGAATGGTTAAAACAGGACAATCGGCGCAGCCATAAAACTGCTAGCACATTTGCAAAGCTAAGCAGGGTCTGGTATGGTTTCAAATTGGATGGGGGACTTGAGATTCCTACATTGAAGGGGATCAGACTAGATGACCGCTGGGTCCCCTTTCCACTCTACAATTCCATTATTCCAATCTGCGTCTTCCTTCTGTGTTACTAAGTTTCTCTCCCTGTCCGCTACCCTAACCCTCTTACCTAGTTCCACATACATTGCTAAACTATGGACCATCTCTAGCTCAATATTGTCCACTCTGGCTGGCAGCAGCTCTCCAGAGTCTCAGGTGAGGGCTCCAGACCTGTTGCTTGAGATCCTTTTAACTCTGTCCCCTTCAGCCTTAGCCCATCTCTTTGTATCATGGATGCTTCCAGGTTTGAGGTAGCCCTGGCAAAGGGCCCTCTGGTGGGTGCCACCACCTTAAATCTCACCCATAGGTGATGGACTCTCCTTTCTTGGAGGCCTCTAAGCAGATCACCTGATGGAGAGTTTTTTGTTGCTGTTCCTGCTTTGCAGGGGTTTGGACTAGAAGGTCTCTTGGGTCCCTTCCAGCTCTGCAAGTCCATGATAAATTCCCCGCAATTCAACTTCCCCTTTTGGGTGTGTGGAAGAGGGCACCCAAAGCCATTTGTTTTGATTGATTTCTCCCTGTCTGCACCCTCACAGCCACCGTAGGGTTGAGATGGGAACCATCCCCGAAGAAGGTGAGAAGACCAGGAAGGAAAAGGAGCAGGCAGAGAAAGAAAACAGCAAAAAAGGTGGGGGCAAGAGCTTTCGCAAGCCATTTTATTTTCATTTATTTCCTGATGTAAGGAAATATTTCCTGATATAAAGACTGATACGTCTTTACAGCGGCTGTCTTCCTGCACCACACAAGGACATGTCCAAAATTGTCCTGGAAACAGGCTGCGTAGCATATCTCAGACATGACCTCAAGCAGAGATGGAAAAGCTCTGGAAATTTTGACATCTTGCAGGGCTGCAGGGAGACGACCCCATTCCCCTCTATTTATTTGTTCAGGAATATTTACACCCCGCCTACTAACCAACATTTTTGAGGCAGCTTGCAAAAATAATTTATAGCAGTAGTCATACAGAAAGGCAAAGATGTGTCTATGTCCCACCGCTCCCCTTCTTGCCAGATGCTCCAACAAATGTCGTTCTGCAACCGAATCTCCTCCCTTGTTGACAGAGAAAATATTTTCCCCTTAGTTTTCCCCCCCTCCTTCAAATTTTATTTACCAGTAAACAAGATATACCAAAGAGCTTACAGAACTTGGTTGGTTTTTAAATGGGACATTTGCGGGGACAGCAAAACTGCACACATTTGCTTGTCATAAGTGTGTGCGTGTTTGCATTTTTCATCCATGGTTGAGTAGGGTTTTCACATTATTGCGATAGAATGGTGCAGTCCCTTAATCTCTCCCCCGCCCCAAATGTGCACTTTTCACAGCTAATTTTTCACGAGCTGCTTCTGTTCACTGTGGAATTCTTACGCAACCTTCTGCTTCTCTCCTTCCTGTAGAAAATCTCTCGCCCAAGCGCCTTCTGTCTCGCCAGCTGATTTCTCCAGCCAAAGTCTCAGGGATCTGTTTGACTGAAGAGTATGAGAAGAACTTGAAGCCCAAGCTGCCTCCACAAAGGTAAGATCTTGATTCTGAAGGCAGCAGGGAGGTTTCTCTCTCTCTGGTCCTGTGAAGATAAGAAGCTGCCTAGGATGGACTCAGACCACTTGTCAATCTAGCCCAGTGGCTTGCTCTGATTGGTTGCATCTCTCTAGGGCCCCAGGCTTTAGAGAGTAAGGCTTTGGGGAAACAACTAGGAGATGTTGGCCATACGGGTCCAGGTCATCAGTTCTTGCTCTTCTGACTCCCCGCCTGTCTTCTTTCTTTGGCGATCACTCGTAGCCGAGTAAGATTGTCTTCCATAAACACAGCTTTAACAGTGCGTCCTAGGTGACTGTGGAGGCCAGTTCTGGATCCATACTACCTTCCACAGTGGGGACATAGGTTTCCAGGTAGAAGTTGATCATGGTGAGAGTTTGCCAAACGTGCCTTCCTCCTAGCACATTTCTCCCTTGTGTCCTGAGTTTGAGCATCTTCAAAGCCCATAACACCTTTGGTAAAGGCTGTTCTCCAATTGGAGCGCTCGCAGGCCAGTCTTTCCCAGTTGTCGGTGTTTATACCACATTTTTAAAGATTTGCCTTGAGAGACTCTTTGAACCTCTTTTGTTGACCACCAGCATTACGCTTGCCATTGTTAAGTTCGGAATAGAGGACAGTGGTACCTCGGGGAACAGACACTTCAGGTTACAGACTCCGCTAACCCAGAAATAGTACCTCGGCTTAAGAACTTTACTTCAGGATGAGAACAGAAATTGTGTGGTGGCAGCTGGAGGCCCCATTAGCTAAAGTGGTACCTCAGGTTAAGAACAGTTTCAGGTTAAGAACGGACCTCCAGAACGAATTAAGTTCTTAACCCGAGGTACCACTGTAGTTGCTTTGGAAGACGATAATCAGGCATCCACACAACATGACCAGTTCAACAAAGTTGATGTTGAAGAGTCATTGCTTCAACACTGGTGATCTTTGGCTTCTTCCAGTACGTTGGCATTAGTTCGCCTGTCTTCCCAAGTGATGTGTAATTTTTTTTCGGAAACACCGTTGATGGAATCCCTGTCTGTCTCACAACTGCCACAACTGTGTGCCCTCCAGATGTTGTTGAACTACAGTTCCATCTCCAGGGACCCATGGCCATCCTGGATGGCACTGATGGGAGTGGTAGCCAAAAATACCTGGAGAGCAACAGGTGGGGAAAGCTTGCTGTAAGATTTAAACATTCAGGGTGGCCTGTGAATGCTTTCATCCATCTTATTCCCCCGCTGAGACGTGTGGCTGGAATTGTCCCATCTCATTTCCCTGTGCACTTTAATTACGAGAATCTTTAGGGTCAAGAGGTGTTTGAGAGCCAGTGTGGTGTAGTGGTTAAGAGCGGTAGTCTCGTAATCTGGGGAACTGGGTTCGCGTCTCCGCTCCTCCACATGCAGCTGCTGGGTGACCTTGGGCCAGTCACACTTCTCTGAAGTCTCTCAGCCCCACTCACCTCACAGAGTGTTTGTTGTGGGGGAGGAAAGGAAAGGAGAATGTTAGCCGCTTTGAGACTCCTTCGGGTAGTGATAAAGCGGGATATCAAATCCAAACTCCTCCTCCTCCTCCTCCTCTTCTTCTTCTTCTTCTTCTTCTTCTTGTTGTTTGGTTTTCTGTCTGAGATAGTGGCCCAGCTCAATTGGACAGTGGTCAAATGTTTTGCCCTTTCCCTCTGCCTGCCATGCACAAATACAGTGGTACCTCGGGTTAAGTACTTAATTCGTTCCAGAGGTCCGTTCTTAACCTGAAACTGTTCTTAACCTGAAGCACCACTTTAGCTAATGGGGCCTCCTGCTGCCGCCGCGCTGCCTGAGCACGATTTCTGTTCTTATCCTGAAGCAAAGTTCTTAACCTGAAGCACTATTTCTGGGTTAGCGGAGTCTGTAACCTGAAGCGTATGTAACCTGAAGAGTATGTAACCCAAGGTACCACTGTATGCATACTGCAATACTTTTTAAAAGAAGAATGGCAATGGAGTCTGTGGGATCTCTAGCAATTTTAATATAGAATTGAGTCAGAACGTTGGCTCAAAGCAATCTGCCTCCAGAACTAGGCTTTGGTGGAAAAGTTTGAACTCGAATGGGTTCATAAACCCTGCAATGCCCACTGATTCTCCCCTGAAAATCCGCCCCTTTTATATTGCTGGGCCCATTTATGATTCTGCGGCTTGGTTGCTTTTTGTTTAAGCTGCCAGGGTTTCATTTGCAGGGGGGAATTGAGAGATGCAGAAAGGATTAAGCAGCTGCCTCCTGCCCAGTGATTTCAGCCTACAAGTGCTTCTCTTCCCCCCTCATCAGTCTCCAAAATACAGAAATGCAGGGTTGGAGCCCCATTTGCACTCCTATCTAATTTGGCCCGCAGGGATTCAGTCTAGTGCTATTGTTGATTCAGACAAGGAGCTTGCATCTTCACGAAGTCACAAAAACCTTCCTTATTCTGTGGGTGCAGGTCACCCTCTCAACGTAAAGAGTCTGCTTTGGTTTTCTTCCCTTCCCTATATTCTCTGCAGCAGCTATTGTGCAGCTGAACAACAAAGTATAATTGAAGAGACTCAGGATCCTCTTTCTCAATCGGGGGCAAATTCTATCCTTCCTCTTGATGACAAGACACTGTTTGGTTTCGACAGGGTCAAAGTCCTCAGCGCTGAAAGGCTTTTTAAATGTTTTAAGGGCTCGTCTGAGGCGTTGTGTGAGAGGCCAACAGTTGCTCTCCGAAGCCACTGAAAAATGGATTTGCCAGCAATTAAAGATGTAGGAGAACTTTTGTCCTTAACTGGAAGAGATCCTTTGTTCGGGGCTGAGGGAAATCGGAGGAGATAAACTAGAGACCTCTTCCATTATTTGTGGGTTAACATGGAGGCATCTTCTTCACAAGGGAAGCTGATTATAATGTTGCACACAACAGACGGCACCAAAGATGAGGAGGCCGATAGAATTTCAACTTGCCCTCTTTGCATTCCGTTTATTTAGATAATGGCGTTCAGCACGCCTGCTGTTTTGATCCTACCCTTCTCTTCAGGGGAAGGAGGTCTCAGGTATAGACTGCCCTTAAAGGGACTGGGCAGTGCCGATGCTGGTGTTTCTGTTAGGATTCTTGTTCCATGTTTGCAGTCATGGGATTGTTGTCTATCACATGATGGTGTATGTTTTCATTCCACAGTGTGGGAAGTGACGGAGACAGGATGTTTTGTGTTACTGTGTTCTGGAAAGTGGGACTATTGTCCTTTGTTCTTTTTCTCTTTGCTCTCTGATGAGAAAGAGGAAGGAGCTAAGTCAGAATGCTCCGAGTGTATTATATGTAAATAAAAGTAGATTAGCCAAAATGCTGTGCTACTGAGTTCTGTTATGCAAACTGCAAATACTGCAGGATCCCTAAGCATGCTAATGCCTTTTGGCATCAGTCACTGTGATGTTCGGGCTGGAGAAAGCTTTTGAAGCTCCTGAACGACCGACCAGGAGGGAGAGAACATGCCAGTCAGGCATGTTTCTCTGTCAGGGTCCTACTCGAGTGTAGGGAGCTTCAAAAGCTTTCTTCTGCCTGAACATCACAGCGACTGATGCCAACAGACATCGGCACACTTAGGGATCTGCAGAGTCTTCGCAGCTTGCGTGACAGACCTCAGCAACTCAGCATTTTGGCTAATCTACTTTATTTACATATAAACACACACAGAGCACTGCAACGTGGCTCCCTCTCTCTCTAGCATCAGACAGCAAAGAGAAAGGACAAAGGACAATAGTCCCACTTCACGGAACACAGTAACACAAACATCCTGTCTCCATCACTTCCCACTCTGTGGAGTCAAAACACACCACATCATGTGATAGACAACAATCCTATGACTGCAATCATGGAGCAGGAATTCTAACAGATCCCTCTAAGGATGGTGAGGGCAGCGGTGTTAGCGCGATGGAAGCCCAAATCCTTACTCAAGGCTCCAGAGTTTGCTAGGGATTGAGCAACATTCAGGTTAAGCTCATCCAACTTCCGATCCCACTGTCAAGGCGGAAGTCGGGACAGACACTCTCGCCTTCTCCAGAGACACAGTCTCGTGTTTGGCATGCATAAAACTCCTGCTGGCCATGTTTTTGTGTTCTCCAGGCAAGGACCAACAACAACGCCCGCTCCCGAAGCCCCAAAGACAGAGCAAGAAGCCAGCCCCGCCAAAATTCCTGCCCTCAGACCCCGGACTCCATCCCCAATTTGTCAAGATCATGGTAGGGCAGGCCAGGTATAATACGTAGCTTTTCCTCCTTTTTTGTCTATATCTGTGCAGGGCCAAATAGGCATGGCCTTTGGTAGGGGACGGAAGTCGGCAGCTGGCAGCCCGTGATCCATATTTGGCCCATTGCTTACATATATATATGGAGGTCCACAGATTAGCCACGCCTGCAGTCTGAGGATCCTGTGATGCACATTTCTTACATAGGCCACTTCTTTTGCCTTTATGACAATGCTCTAGTCACTGCACCTACTTGGAAAGAGCCTTTTTACACAAGCAAGGAGCAGATCTGTGTTTGAATGCTGAACAAACAATAGCTTTTGCCTGTGCAAATGCCACCAAGAATTTCTGAGCTGGAGCAAAATTTGTGCTTGTTTTTCCTAGATAGATTTGGGAGGGTGGGGATGCAATCCTGTTTTGTCCTAGTTCCTAACATCTCTGGTGGTGCTTTGGTGGGGGCATGAGCGGCGGTACGCATGCTTGCGTACAAAGCATGTGCAAGGCAAAAGAACCCACCTTGGTGCTTTTGTACCTACTGGGGAAGTGTGGATTTAGCAAAGTTGTGTCTGAGAGGTGTTTCAGCCCTGCATTTCCAAAATGACTGCCACAGGGTGCACATTTTGAACACGATTGTGTGCATCCTTTGGCAACTCAAACACTAATGCACTTCTTGTGACATTTCCTTTTTGCTGCAAAAACGACTGGACCGGACCACTGCAATGCGTTAAACATGGGGTTGTCTTTGAAGGCCTCTTGTGGCCCCTAGAAGTCTGCCCAGAAAGAAAATGCAGCTCTCAGGCTGTAAAGTTTTCCCTATAGCTGTTCCAGTGCTAGAAATAGCCCAACAACACTCCTCCACGACCTTTTCTGTTTCATTATTTGGGTGGTTTGCTGTGATGGAAATATAATAATTGAGCATTTGCAGCCCTCTAATGTTACCCTCAAATCTGCCACCAGAGACACCATACTCTCCATAATGGACAAGGTGCAGTCGTGCCAAGTCAAGTTTTATCTACTGAAAGCCACTAGCCTTTATAAATTTTCATTTTTGAAACTCTTTTTCTGCCTGCATTTCTGAGGAAGTCAAGTCAGAGGGAAGTTTGGAGCTGATGTGCTATTACAATGTATTGGTGACTAACTTGTGTTGATTCTTTGGTACGCTGAGGCAAACAGAACAGCCTTAGGTTTTTAAAGCAGAGGTTTTCAACCTTTTTGGGTCCACAGCTCCCTTGACCAATGACATTCTTTCTTTGGCACCCCTGTGGGGCTCAGGAGCCCAGTTGTGTCACCCCTTGCCTGCAGAGCTGGCAGCCCCTCACCCCTTTTCGGACATCCTTGCTTATGGAGTGTTCCCTCAGCCTCCTCTCCTCTCTCCTTGGGAGTCCTCTGGGCAGCCACAGCTGACACCTCTGGTCTCTGAACTGCCCCCCCCTGCCCCAAAGAGAGGTGCCTTTTCACACTGCCCCACAGGGGCCTGGGAAGCATCCCCTGGCCAGCCCCAGAGGCACCATTTGCCTGGAGAGCTTGTAGACAGGGCTGCTGCTGCTGCAACAGTTGTGCAAGCCTTTGGGAGGCAGAGACACAAGAGGGCATCAGAGGAAGGGAGGGAAGGAAAGAGGGACAGAGGCCAGTGTTGCCCATGGCAACCCTGACCCTCATTCAAGGTACCCCAGGGTGCCATGGCACACTGGTTGAAAACCACAGGTTTAAGGATATTTAGCCCCTTCAGAGAATAGGTAAACGATCTTCCTGTTTTCATTGTTTAAAAGGACTCATAGTTAAAGCTGACCACAGTTTGCTGGTTTGATCAACACACTAAACTGTGGTTAATGGAAACCGGAAGCAAAAGCTTCTAAACGCCTCTTCCACAGCCACACTGGAGGAGGAGGAGGAGGAGGCTAAGGAGAGAGTGAGAGCCCAAGGCTTGCTGCGGCTTATTCTCATCATGCCAAATTATGGTTAAGTACTTCGTCTGAACACTGGAGTCGGCAAGCTAAAAGCGGCAAAATCAAGCCTTCAAATCAATAATGCCTCTGTGGCTTGTACTATATGCATTCCCAGGAAATGTGCTACTTGTGCATGCAGCGTGCTCAGAGGAGCATCCCTTTGTACTTGGGTGAAGAGAAGAGGAAGAAAGAGAAGGAAGAAGACAGGATATTGGCACAGTATCAGGCCCTAAAGGATCACGAAGCCTTTCAGAGGCAGCTGGTAAGGCGGCACAAGAATAAAAACACCACCCTTTTCTTCTTCTTTTAATTAGAAAAAAAAAGGGCAGATCTTTTGAACAAGAAAGGGGAGGCTTGTTCTACTGAGGATGGATTCACACATGCAGAAATGCCTGTATTAAGCGGAAATTGGGCATGAAAATGCAAAAATTAGTGGCAGTAGCATACGAAAATGTATTGTATTAGGGGGAATGGCTTGCAGAAATGTGCATATTTGTCAAAACCGCAAGCACACCTGTTTGCTGTAGGAGAAGACCCCTCTAAGATGCCGATGAATTTTCATGAAAATTAAAAGTTGCCAGTTGTTGTGGAAATGTGGAGAAATGAATTTAACATTGGGAAAATGAGAAACTGGCATACTGTATTTGTTTGTTCCTGGTCTCTGAATAAGGCAGCATCTTATGTTCACTGCTACCGGTGTGTAGAGGTTGCTTGTTCGAGAACATCTCCTGGGTTAAAGTCTACCTGCAGGTGCAAAGCTAATATATCTAGGGGAAGAATTAGACTGAGAGAGTAAGAGAAAGTGTTGGGTATGTTGCCTTTCTAGAGAACGAAACCTTGTTTGTTGGGGCTTTCTCACACCTTTTTGCCATTTTTTTTGGAAGTTGCTTTTGGTTGCCTTGGGGATGAAAAAGCAACTAGCAAACTTAACAAATAAAAATAACAATGAATAAATAAATACCCCCCCTGCTCTGCCACCGTTCACCTCAAATGCATCTATAAGGATGCTGAGAGGGAGAGATTGCATTGCACGTTTAAGGCAAAGCATTATTGTAAACTGTTGGTTTCTCAGCCCCTTTTATTCTGCCCTCCCCTTTTCACTTTGAATGCACCTCCGGCAAATCTCCTCCACCACAGATGCGAGCGATGACAAATCGAGAAGAGAACCAGAGAATTGCGGCTTTTAACCTCGGGGTTGCCGAAGCCACCAGGAACCACAAGAATGATAAAGCTTTGGACAGCTACGTGAGTTCATGCCCTCTATGATAGTCTAACTGCCCTGGCATCTCTGGTCAAAGTGGGAGGTGCTCTGAAATAGCTCAGTACTTATTTTCTCCGAATTCCAGGGCAATACCAGGGCAGGGTGCAATAATATAAATGAAAACAATCCATGAATAGTGTTAAGTTGTGGGCGAACATAGCAGACGACACAGCGATTTCTCCAGAGCAGCTCTTTATTTGTAAGCTGGACAGAACTGAACAGCAAACAGCTCAGCCGGCCTGCTTTTATAGGCAGCCGGCTGTCAACAATGTAGCAACAACAACCCAGGGTTTCCCGCCTAAAATAACTGACGTGGACCTGAGTGAAAACTACATACACAATACTCCTGGTGGCCAGGGTGAGAACTTCAGTACATAACACCCCTCCCGACCGAGATAAGGCGTTAGTTACAATCGTAATGGTTTCCTTATATACAGCACTACACGTAATGGTTCAATTAGGCACAAAAGCATATTGGTTACATTTCCCATACTTAGACCAACAGTGATACATGTCCAACAACATAGTCCTTTAAATAAGTTGGATGCTTGGAAACTCTGACAGACCGCCGGGGACTGGTAGCCAAGTCCGGGGGGGGCCACACAATTCTTGCTGAGGCTGTGGTGCGACCCTAGGTGGCGTTGAAACCAAATCCCCTGGATCCGCTGCTGTGGGTGGAGCCTCCGCAAGTGGAGTGGTCTGAGTCTGTGGTAAGTCTGGCAGACCCTCTGAAGCGGCTTGGTTCGGCTCCACGCTGGCAGTTTGCGAGGGAGGTGTAGGTGAAGCCTCGCCATCTGTAAGTGTCTCTTCCGGAGCCACAAGCGCAGTTGGGGGCACCACAGTAGTGTCCAAGTCCCCAACCCTGCGCCTAAGCTGTTCTATGTGCCGGCGCCACAAGCGTCCGTCTTCGAGTGCCACCTGGCACGAGCGAGGTCCAGTGACTCCCACTACTGTGGCTGGCACCCAAGGAATGTAACAAATACATTCGTAATACAGTGGTATCTTGGTTCTCAAACTTAATCCCTTTCCGGAAGTCTGTTCCAAAATCAAAGCGTTCCAAAGCCAAGGTGCGCTTTCCCATAGAAAGTCATGCAAAACAGATTAATCCATTCTAGACTATTGAAAACAACAACAACAACAAGAGTTTGGATTTGATATCCCGCTTTATCACTACCCTGAAGGAGTTTCAAAGCGGCTAACATTCTCCTTTCCCTTCCTCCCCCACAACAAACACTCTGCGAGGTGAGTGGGGCTGAGAGACTTCAGAGAAGTGTGACTGGCCCAAGGTCACCCAGCAGCTGCATGTGGAGGAGCGGGGAAGCGAACCCGGTTCACCAGATTACAAGACTACGGCTCTTAACCACTACACCACACTGGCTCCCTGACCCCTAAAACAGCAATTTAACATGAATTTTACTAATGAGACCATTGATCCATAAAATGAAAGCAATAATCAATGTACTGTACTATAAAATAAATAAGACAGTATTGTAGATGATTAAAAAAAAAAATCTTACCTGCCCTGATGATAGTCATTGTTTGGATGGGGGGCTTTTATCCATTTTCACAGCCACACAATCAATCATGCAATCAATCAATCAATCAATCAATCAATCAGTCAGTGGCTGAACTGGGTTCCACACAGTCACAAAAACAAATTAACCAAAAAAGCCTTAAAAACAAAAATGCAACAAATAGCAAAAACAAAAGCACCAAACTTAATCCATTCTGGAAGTCCATTTGACTTCTGAAATGTTCAAAAACCAAGACATAGCTTCTGATTGGTGCGGGTGCCCCAGAAACAATAGCCAACAGCTGCATTGGATGTTCGGCTTCCAAAAGACGTTTGAAAACCGGAACGCCTACTTCCAGGTTTTTGGCGTTTGAGAACCAAGGCATTTGAGAACCAAGGTATCACTGTAGTGTTCAGAATATGACCAATCCCTCAACCTTAGCAACAGCAGATTCTCCCTCCCCCCACACCAGGACTGTACTCTGGGATTACCACTAATGTCATTGATTTATTTATTACATCAATAGCCCAGCTTTCCTCCAAGGAGCTCTAGGTGGCACACTTGGTCCTTGCTCTCTTCACAACAACTCTGTGAGGTAGGCAAGGCCAGAAGATGGTGACTGTTCCAAAGCCACCCAGTGGCGCATCATGGCGCACGGGGGATTTGAACCCTAGTCTCCCAGGTCCTGGTTTAACCTCTAGCTGCTATACTGCACAGGTTCTCATCTCTTTTGGGGTTTTCAACAGGTGCAATTTTGTCATGGGGAAGAGACATTTCAGGCCGTGGCTAGAGGCAAGAGCGTATGCTTTGCATGCAGAAGGGCCTGGGTTCAGTCCCCAGCATCTCCAGTAGGACTCGAGAGCAGCTGCCAGTCCGTGTTGGCAATGCTGAGCTACAAGGACCTGATGGCCTGGCTCAGTCTAAGGCAGCTTCCCGTGTTTCTGTGATGGTTGGGAATTCCTTCAATGCACAAGATTGGATGAGGTCTTCTCAACCGATGGTTGAATCTCTCCTGAACAGAAATCATACATCTTTGAGAAGAGGCCAACCAGTGCCACCATTCAGCAAAAGCAAGAGGTGTATGCACAACAGCTGGGGAAGCAAGTGGACGACAAGATGGCCAGAGAGTTGAAGCTGAGGCAGGATCAGGACCTCATTGACCGCCTGGAGCAAGTGCAGCTGGCAGAAGAGTAAGTCTTCTGGGATGAGTTGTCCCTGTAGGCCAGGGTTTCCCAAACTTGGGTCTCCAGGGACTCAGCTGTTGTTGTTGTTGTTTAGTCGTTTAGTCATGTCCGACTCTTCATGACCCCATGGACCAGAGCACGCCAGGCACTCCAGTCTTCCGCTGCCTCCCGCAGTTTGGTCAAACTCATGCTGGTAGCTTCAAGAACACGCTCCAACCACCTTGTCCTCTGTCGTCCCCTTCTCCTTGTGCCCTCAATCTTTCCCAACATCAGGGTCTTCTCTTCTCATGAGGTGGCCAAAGTATTGGAGCACTCGGGGCTGATTTCCTTAAGAATGGATAGGTTTGATTTTCTTGCAGTCCATGGGACTCTCAAGAGTCTCCTCCAGCTCCATAATTCAAAAGCATAAATTCTTCGGCGATCAGCCTTCTTTATCGTCCAGCTCTCACTTCCATACATCACTACTGGGAAAACCATAGCTTTAACTATACGGACCTTTGTCGGGAAGCTACACAGCTGCAAATGAAACGTTTCAAATGCATTGTAAAGTGCAATATACAAATGTGACACTAGGTGGCAACAGTGAGCTATGCAAAATTCAATGTGTTTTTCAATTTTATTTTTTTTAAAAGCATTTTCGCAGTGTTATTTTTATATGTGTGTAGATTCCACCCAGCTGTTTTTGGATTGCAGTTCCCATCATCCCTGACCGCTGGTCCTGCTAGCTGGTGCTGATGGGAGTTGTAGTCCAAAAGCAGCCGGAGACCCAAGAAAACATTGCTGTAGATGTTTCTTTCTCAAGGTGTTTTCCACTGCGAGGTGTGAAGCAGCCTGCCCCAACCTGGTGCCCTCCATATGTTAGTGGACTACAATACCCATCATACCTGAGCATTGACCTGAGCAGTAACAGGCTGCTGGGAGTTGTAGTGCGAAACCTCTGGAAGGCACTAGGTTGGTGAACTGCAGGTGACATCAGGTATTTTCATATCTGCTTTATGGGCTGCTTTAAGAGCTGCAGGGAGATATCGGGTATTTTCACATTTTACCAAAAAAGGGCCAAAAGAATTGACTACCTAAATAGGAATAGAAACAAAATTGTTTAAACATAATGTGCTGGCTAAAATAGAGATGTATAATCAAGTCAGTCAGAACTCTCATTGGCTTTCCAGGGCAAGATCACTATTTATTTCCTTTCCTTCCTTTCCAAAATTGCTGTTGGGTATAGTTTGTACTTTGCCAGACAAGCATAATTAGGGCACTTTTTCATGTTTTAAAAGCTAATGGGCATATATTTAAACTAAAGATTTTAATGAACGAAGAAGAGAAGACTGACGATGTCTCAGGTGTTAGGAGTGGGATAATATTCAACTGCCTATTTGTCAGAACAGCACCTCTGTACACTTCAGGTAAACAGAGAGCCTTAGGGCTCTGGACCCTGAGCAAGTATAAGATTTTTATTTTTAAAAAATAAATAAATTGAAAATTGTCAACCCTGTTGTCAAGTGGCCTGAAAAAATTCCTACATTGCCAACCACTGGGAAGGAGTAAGTCCTGTACAGTAATGTGGAACTGTGTGTGAAAAAAGTAATAGAAATAACAATACAATGAGTCTAATCAGGAGCCAAATGTGTTTATTTTCTTCTTTTAATTCTATCTTTCTTTTTCTTTTCCTCTCTTTCCTCTCTTCTTTTCTCACCTTCTTCTTTTGGTCTTTTTCTTTTTGATTTGCTAAGAAAGAGATAATGAGATATAAGTTAAATATGAAAATTTGACTCACTTAAAGCGATGTTTTGTAATTTGTCAGCTATTGTCAAAAATGGTCAATCGTAATGAACTGATGTATTATTGTGGATTTTTTTTTGTTATTGTTGAATCTCAAATAAAAGTTATTTTAAACTTAAAAAAAGAGAGAGGAGTAAATCCTACTGAAATTTGGTTGGCTGAATGCTACACATGCCCCTCTTTATCTTTCTAGGTTAGCTGCCCAAAGAACAAAATACCTGAAGGACAAAATGGAAGAAACAAAGTGTTATAAGAGAGCGCTGGACACTCAGGTAAAAATGAGAGATGCCAGTTAACAGCGCAACCCTCCAGGTGTGTTTATTCAGAAGGGAATCTTGTTAAGTTCTGTGGGGCTTCCTCCAGGATAAGTGGATATGGTGCTGCAGCCTCACGGAATGAACCGAAGCCCTATTATTATTATTATTATTATTATTAGGACCAATCAGACTGCTGCATTCTGGATCCTATTGTTCTAGGACCAATCAGACTGCTGCATTCTGGATCCTATTGTTCTAGGACCAATCAGACTGCTGCAATTTGGATCCTATTGTTCTAGGACCAATCAGACTGCTGCAATTTGGATCCTATTGTTCTAGGACCAATCAGACTGCTGCATTCTGGATCCCATTGTTCTAGGACCAATCAGACTGCTGCAATTTGGATCCTATTCAACTCAGTACATAACACTAAACATCCTGCACTCTCTCAACCGTTCCTCATAAGGCTTGGTTTGCCTTATCCACACGTTCTGTCTTCACACGTGGTATAGATCACGGTGTATGTGGCTCCGTAGTTCCCCTAGACCTGTTTCCGCTTCCTTACGAAAGAAGCAGGCGTAAGAGGAAAGAGTAAGGCTCATTTTTCGCCCTCTCGAATTTGGACCCAGATAAAGATGAGGCCAGCTCCGTTGCCGCAGTGCGAGCCTGATTCGGCCGGGGTCATCTTTGGGAAGAACGACATGAATAACGAAAGAATGGGCGAAGGAAGGAAGCGCTGCCAGGAATATTCCAAATGCCAGCTGCAGGCGGCTGCGGAACGCAAGCGGGCAGACATTATCAGAGAGCTGATTGATCAGCGGAGAGCAGCAGCGATGCTTCAGAGAGCGAAGGAACAGTAAGAACAGAAAATGGTTGTGCTACGGTTTTTCCAGTAGATATGCAGAACCGGGACAGTCTTACTGTTGTAATGATTACCCAGAGCATTTTTATCCTTCCCAAAAAGGCTCCCAGGAATCAGTAATAAGAAAGTTTCTGCCCTCGGGCTTACAGTCTAAAAGACACAACACAAAAGGCAAAGGGGTTGGGAAGAAATAATGCAAACTCAGGCATTACCATATTTTTTGCTCTCTAAGACTCACTTTTTCCCTCTTAAAAAGTAAGGGGAAATGTATGTGCGTCTTATGGAGCGAATGCAGGCTGCACAGCTATCCCAGAAGCCTGAACAGCAAGAGGGATTGCTGCTTTCACTGCGCAGCGATCCCTCTTGCTGTTCTGGCTTCTGAGATTCAGAATTTTTTCCCCTTGTTTTCCTCCTCCAAAAACTAGGTGCATCTTGTGGTCTGGTGCATCTTATAGAGCGAAAAATACGGTATTTTTTAGCTGCAAAATTCTTGTAATTAGACAGTGGGAGGGTGACTCTTTCAGGCAGCAGACTTCTGGGTTTCCGGAAAGGTCAACAAGTTGCTTAAATATATATATATATTATCATCATCATTTTTGCTCCCCAAGTAATGTTCTTGTGGAATTTTCTGCACTGGGTGCCGCAATAGCTTGGCTAGCCTTAGGTATCATGTACTTTGCTTGGGGATGGGGGAGGAATCCTGCAAACTCAAATTCCTAATTGTACTTGCCTTATTTGATTTGGGTGGACTGGATCAGGTCTCGAGATCACTGCCAAATCTACATTCCTTTACAATGCCGCCCAGTCTTGCTCCTTCCAGTCTTGCTCCTCAGCTTAATCTTCCTGAGGATGATGGAAGTTGCAGTCCAACAATATCTAGGGACACATAGCTGAAGAACGATGGTCTAGGTCTGGATAATATTGAGCTAGATGGACCAATGAGCTGACTTGGTGTAAGGCAAGTTTCCTACATGGTGCCAGATTTACGTATAAGCTAAGCAAGCTATAGCTTAGGCCCTCTCTTGGGGCCCCCAAATTTTTTAAAAGAACAAAACTGGATGTACATTTCCAAAATATAAGATAAACTACAAATAGAATAAAACCTACATACAGCAACAGTATTTGGTGTTGTGTAGGCTCCTATGATGTAAGTAATGGGCCCTGCCTGCTAGCCTGCTCCCTAAAATATCACTGGTTTGCTCATTTTTATATGTAGGGTGTGGAACACAGGTGGCGCTGTGGGTTAAACCACTGTGCTGCTTGGGCTTGCCGACCGAAAGCTTGGCGGTTCGAATCCCTGCAACGGGGTGAGCTCCCGTTGTTTGGTCCCAGCTCCTGCCAACCTAGCAGTTGAAAAGCACACAGTGCAAGTAGATAAATAGGTACCGCTCCGGCGGGAAGGTAAACGGCGTTTCCGTGCGCTGCTCTGGTTTGCCAGATGCGGCTTAGTTATGCTGGCCACATGACCCAGAAAAACTGTCTGCGGAAGCGGACAAACGGCGGCACCCTCAGCCCTGTAAAGCGAGATGACCGCCGCAACCCCAGAGTCATTCGCGACTGGACTTAATTGTCAGGGGTCCCTTTACCTTTACCTATATATATAGGGTGCCTACATTTTGCATGGACTGGTTGCACGGCAACATGTGCAAATGGCTTTAGATACCTATTAGGTCCATAAAGTAAAGGTAAAGGGACCCCTGACCATTAGGTACAGTAATGACAGACTCTGGGGTTGCAGTGCTCACTTTATTGGCGTACAGCTTCTGGCTCATGTGGCCAGCATGACTAAGCCACTTCTGGTGAACCAGAGGAGCTCACGCAAACGCCGTTTACCTTCCCGCCGGAGCAGTACCTATTTATCTACTTGTACTTTGACGTGCTATCAAATTGCTAGGTTGGCAGGAGGAAGGACTGAGCAACGGGAGCTCACCCCGTCGCGGGGATTCGAACTGCTGACCTGATCGGCAAGTCCTAGGCTCTGTAGTTTAACCCACAGCGCCACCCGCATCCCTGCACCACCCGCGTCTATAAATTACGATATAGCATATATTCAACACAAAAAACAGTGACAATTTGCTGTTGAAAAGGACAGCGGGACATATAACAATTACCATATAACCATCTCATCAAACCTAATTCCGCCCTGCCTACACCCCTAATGGTTCTTTGGAGGGGAAGCCTGTGTGTGCTCTTATCGCAAGCCATTGCAACTGTGCATTGTTAGTTTTCTGGTTTTGCACTATTTATTCTAGAGGGGGGGAAAGAGCAATGATCTGAAAGGAGCCAGGATCTGACTCTCCCCCCCCCTTACCCCAACGCTGCCTTTTCTAGGTTGATGGCTGAAAAAGGAGAGCGGCTAGAGAAGATGTTCCAGATGAATTTAGCCGTGCAGGAAGACTGGAAGAAGAGTGCTGGGATGAAGAGGCAGCGGGATTACGAAGAGCAGATCTTTAGACGGTAAAGTTCAGCCGATGGCCAAACTCGCCAGCCCCTTCCTTGCTTATCTCTTGGCTGGGCCAGAGTGCTGCCGCTAAGCTGCCATCCGAATGGCAGTGGCGTCATGGCACACTCTGCAGAATGGGGAGTAGCTGAGTCCCACCATCTCCCTAGTGCTAGGCTACCTCTTCCTGGCATTGGTCACCCTCCCAAAATGACCAAGCTCAGTTTCATCCAAGAAGAGACAGTCCCATTGCATCACACAGGACTGGGAATCCTGGGTGATGTCACAGCATCTCTCCCTGTCCCTGCCCATCAAAATTGCTTTCCATGGGGATAGGACAGTGGTGGAAGCCTAGGTGGAAGAATGTGTAGACATCACTGCTGTAACTGAAAATCTGTTTGTGTGTCTTGGCCTGTTGTAAGAGGATGTGGAAGGATGTCAGCTGTGATTAGACATGATTAGGGCCCAAGCAAAATTACTCCCCTTCACATTCATCTTTCCCAGTTGCAAATATACGTATCGAGTCCCAACGACTTTATTTCGGAGGGGAGATGATGTTCTAGAAAATGGCAGCTCTGTGTTTGAAATGGGGGCGTGCAACCTTCCTGTAAAGTCTCGTGACATCACTTGCAGCTAATAATAATAATAATAATAATAATAATAATAACAATTCTACCCCACCCATCTGGCTGGGTTTCCCCAACCACTCTGGGCGGCTTCCAACAGTTAAAAATACATTAAAAGGTTAAAAATATATTATAATTGCCTGTCGCCTTCCGGAAGCTTGTCTTGACACAGGTGATTTTTATTCACCACCTGTCAATGTTATGACTGCATTGTCAGCAGAACATAATTCCAAGCTGGTGGCATAACATCCCATTTTTACTTCCAGAAGGTCCACCCCAGCCCTTCTGTGGCCACTCAGAGTGGCTGGGGCAACACTGATGATGATTATTATTATTACAATTGTGGCAATGTCCTGACACACTAAGTGTGTCGTCATGCGTCAAATAAATAATAGCAACCATTAATTTTGCAAAATGGAAAGATCTTTGAAAGGGTGTTTTTGTTTTTTTGTTTGCTTAAGATTGGAACAAGCAAACAATTGGCACAGCACTAACCAATTTGAAGTCATGGGTAATGTATCCCTGACATTCCCAGAAGTTGGGGAAAAGTTGATGCCTTGCTTGTGAGCATCCTCTGATGAAGATAAACACATACATTAAAAATGTTGTTATTTATGTTGCAATGTGGTTCAGAAGATCCTTCAGTGGTGGTTTACAATACGTAAAATATGTGGCTAGCCTGTAGCACTCCAGATGTTGTTGGACTGCGGCTCCCATCATTCCTGACCATGTTGATGGGATTTGGAGTCTACAGTTTAGCCACCCTGGTGAAAAATCGTAGGACAGCATCATTGCTATTCTGAGCCGCCTTATACTGAGACAGGCGTTGGCTCGTTTAGCCTACGATGGTCTATGCCAGTGATGGCCAAACTTGGCCCTCCAGCTGTTTTGGGACTACAATTCCCATCATCCCTACCTATCAGAACCAGTTGTCAGGGATGATGGGAATTGTAGTCCCAAAACAGCTGGAGGGCCAAGTTTGGCCATCACTGGTCTATGATGAATGCCAGCAGCTCTCAAGGTATATGATGGGAGGACAATTGGTGAGGTGCAGATGCTGATGACTGAACCTGGAATGCATACTTAGAGCAAGTGATCAAGTGTTAGATGAGTCTCCGTTCTGTAAACTAGGAATGGGGAACCTGTGGCCCTGCAGATGTGGTTGGGCTGTAATTCCCAGTAGCCCCAGACAACACAGATAGTCCACAGGGATTGCAGAATCATAGAGTTGGAAGGGATCACCTGGTCCAACCCCCTGCGATGCAGGAAGAGGGGAGATGTAGTCCAACAGCATCTTGAGAGCTACAGATTCTCTGTCCTTGCTCAGAATAAGGGATCACCAACCTTTGCGGCAGAGGGATGCCGGTGGTGCTGTGGTCTAAACCACAGAACCTAGGGCTTGCCAATCAGAAGGTCGACAGTTTGAATCCTCGCAACGGGGTGAGCTCCCATTGCTTGGTCCCTGCTCCCGCCCACCTAGCAGTTCAAAAGCACGTCAAAGTGCAAGTAGATAAATAGGTACTACTCCAGTGGGAAGGTAAACGGTGTTTCCGTGCACTGCTCTGGTTTACCAGAAGCAGCTTAGTCATGCTGACCACATGACCCGGAAGCTGTCTGTGGACAAACGCTGGCTCCTTTGGCCTAGAGAGTGAAATGAGCACGCAACCCCAGTCGTCTGCGACTGGACCTAATGGCCAGGGGTACCTTTACCTTACCTAACCTTTGCGGGAACATTTGCAAACCAGAGCAACTGTTGCGGGCTTCACACACCACAAACCAAGCACACAGCGCAACCTCCGCATTTGGCTTTCAGGCTTCATTTCAGGGTGGGAGGTCTCTGTAGGCGCCCCATTGAAAAACCCCTTCTATAAACAGGAAACATTTCTGATGAGGTGCAGCAGGGTTTGAGGACAAGAAGCTGGCTGGCATTTCTCGTTCGGGGAGCCCGTTGCTTTGCTAATCTCTGTTCCCTTCCCATTACAGCGCTGGCGACAAACTCCTGCTGCTTGACCAGTGCGCGAGGTATCGCCGCTGCTACCAGTGTAAGAGGCGCATGAGCAACTGCGGGGAAGCAAATGTTTTGGTGGACAGCAAATACATCCCTGGATCCCGGTTGGTAGTTTGAAGCAAGTTCGCTGCTTTGTTTCTTCCCTTGCCCTCTTTCCTCTCGCAATTTTTTTTATCATTCTTTTTTTTTATAAAAAAAGAAAGAAATCCGATCGTGCTGATGTGCTTGATTTGATTCCCACAGCTCTGTGCAATGCATTCTCCCTATTTCTGCCACTTTCTGGCTCAAGATTCTTGTTCCCCTAGCTTCTGTATGTTTTTATGGAGAATTATGTTGAATTAAAAAAGACATGGAAGTGCTCTCTGGTAGTAAGTATCCTGCTTGCTTTGGTGCCAAATATTATTAGCCAAGCTTCTAAATTTACACAGAAACCATTTTATTATGTTTTCAGCTGACAAAGTTTACAGACAGTGGCAGATTCCTGGTGCAAGTCATATTTAAACTGGACACCATTGCATTTTTGTAATCAGTTTTAATAGACTTGCGCAGACGCACAGCATACTTACATGTGCTTAGCTGTTGAGTTACAAAATCATTATCCTGTCAGCCACTGCCTTGTGCTTCTTCACAGCTTATTAGAACCAACACATTCATCTTTGTCTGAGGTTTTCAGTAATAAAACAAACACCAACACATTCTAAGTGCTTTAATGCAGGATTACATACGCAGCGTGACCAACAGTCTCCATCAGATCGCTATTTGATGAAAGGACAGTGGCAAGAATGGTTGGTGGCTCATTTGAGATAGCAGCTGCCTAGATGGAGAAGCTCCATTTTTTTATTTCGAGAAAGTACTTGGGAAACAGTTTTAAGACCCAACCCCCCAAGGGGCACAGAGGTCTTCTCCTAGTTTCTGAGATATATACCGTATTTTTTGCTCTATAAGACTCACTTTTTCCCTCCTAAAAAGTAAGAGAAAATGTGTGTGCGTCTTATGGAGTGAATGCAGGCTGCACAGCTATCCCAGAAGCCAGAACAGCAAGAGGGATCACTGCTTTTGCTGCGCAGCGATCCCTCTTGCTGTTCTGGCTTCTGAGATTCAGAATATTTTTTTTCTTGTTTTCCTCCTCCAAAAACTAGGTGCGTCTTGTGTGGTCTGGTGCGTCTTATAGAGCGAAAAATACGGTATATACCCCAAGGCCACCTCGAACCAGCAACTAGCAGCACATATGAAGGAGAAAGAAAGGCCTCAGCAAGACTATCCACAAGTTCTTCTGAGGTTGGCTACAAACAGCTAAATAACTACGAAAAGATGCTTACCCATAAGTTAAGGCATGTACAAAAACATTCTTAGGAGACCTTTTGACTGAAAGTGAAGGTGGGTTTGAAGCACAATGTGTGTGAGAGAGAGAGAGAGAGACGGAAGGGGTGGGAAAATCACCAATGACCTGATGTTGTGCTCCTCAGGTCTTGCTTTTGGGCTTCCTGCAGGGACCTGGGTGCCCACTGTAACAGCAGGATATGGGATCGATGGGCCATTGGCCTGATGCCGCAGGTTCATCTCATGTTCTTATGAGGCGGGGCTTCCCCCTATGGTTGATGGATGGTCTATCCCAGGGGTCAGCAAACTTTTTCAGCAGGGGGCCGGTCCACTGTCCCTCAGACCTTGTGGAGGGGGGACAGAATATATTTTGGGGAGAGAAAAAATGAACAAATTCCTATGCCCCACAAATAACCCAGAGATGCATTTTAAATAAAAGGACACATTCTACTCATGTAAAAACACGCTGATTCCTGGACCATCTGCGGGCCGGATTTAGGTGGTGATTGGGCCAGATCCAGCCCCTGGGCCTTAGTTTGCCTACCCATGGTCTACCTACCCCACCAAAGGCCCTGAAGCCAATGTTACATCAAGACACTCCGATGTGTATTTTTGGGTGCAGAAAGTGGGTTACGCAAAGGTCTGTCCTTACTTGCCTCTTGTCAATCCTTAGAGTTGCTCTAACTGTGGGAGTCCTCTCTTCTTCTACATTTCATTTATATACTGCTTTATATTTTACTTTTTTAAAAAAAAAATCTCAAAGCGGTTTACAACACAAAAAACAATCCAGAATAAAACAAATCCACACTTCCAAGAAAATATTTCAGATCCTTCTCCAAGTGACATTTTGCATTCCCCATATTTATTTACCTACTTAATTTATAGAGCTGCCCCATAGCAAAAGTACTCTAGGAAGCCAGTGTGGTGTAGTGGTTAGACTACCGGACTAGGGCCTGGGAGATCAGGGTTCAAATCTCCACTCGTACACGAAGCTCGCTGGGTGACCTTGGAGTCAAGTCACGGCCTCTAACAACAGTCAAAGCCAGAAAGACTATTGTACTGATGGGTAATTGAGAAAACCTTATCTGAATTGCAGAGGGTGGAGTTGATATTTCCTCTCTTTGCAGGGGGTGGTGGAGGAAAGTTAGGTATGCCTTTTAAAAGCTGAAATAAAGCAAGGCCAGCTTTGTTAAGGAACATAAAAAATGGGCTACTTCTCCATGAGTTGGCAGAGATGACTCATTCCCCACAGTGCAGCTGCAGGCATCTTGTGACAGTCTTATTGGTGTTGCCAGGCAGAACTGGCGCTGAAGCTGGGTAGATAAGGGGCTCAGGTTACTGTATTTGGTGTGGCTGGACAGTGAGATAATTCAAGTGAGACAGCGCAGAGCATTTTGAAGAACAGGAACTGCAGAAAAGACTGCAGACTTTGTGAAGAGTTGCAGGACTTCGAAGCAATGGAACTACAGACTTGACACAGTGAGGACTTTGAAGCAGCAAGCCCTCTCTGGGCTCAGAGAGTGAAGACTACGTGTAACATCTGTAAATAGTGTGGATGTATTGTGGTGTTGGCCTAGTGAAGACAATTCGGCAAAATGGATGTTTTCCGTGAAGAGTTTAACAGCTTGACTGAGATTACGTACATACACACCCAACCAGGTTTTCCTGGCAGGGAAACAAAAAGTTGCAGAAAGCATCAACCACTTTATTTCCTTCATATCAGGCTACTGTTAAGGGCATAAAAGACTCGAAGGGTGGGGAGATTACTAACTGGAGAGGGAGTGAAAGTTTCTCAGTTAAGTTTCAGTCTTATTGGTGACTTGAATTTCACTGAGGTAAAATTTGTGAGTGTGTCTGGGAATAATTCCTTCTGCCCCCGATGAACCTCCAACTCTTTCTTTTTCTCCTTCCTTCCTTTTTTAATAAAAAAAGAGCAACTTTCTACCATTTGTAGAACCTGAGATCTGAGGTAAAATGTACAGGGATTATTGTTGTTATAAGAAACTAGCCTGCTCTGCCCTTTCGGTGCTGCCTGTGAATGGCTGTAGTTCAGCATCAAAGGAAAACAAACCCAGCTGTTTGTGGAGAGAAAACACAAATAAACTCAGCGCCCGCTTCACCAAGCCATGTGGCAGTAGCTTTTCTGTGGCACTATCCTACGTGGCTGTCATCACAGAATCGCAGAACTGTAGAATTGGAAGGGATCCTGAGGGTCATCTATTCCAACCCCCTGTATTTGTATGTATGAATGCAGCCCTGTTGTGTCACAATGCAGGTGGGCTGAGGCCCTCCATCAAGTGGCACTGACAGTCTTTAGCCCAGAGGTTGGCAACCCAAGGCCCATGGGCCAGAAGCGGCCCATGAGGGTCGCTTAACTGGCCCATGAGCCATCCCCGAACCGAGCTGTCCACTCGGCAAGTCTCCGCGCGCTGCGCTAAACTGGCACAGCACAGCGCGGGGACTCTCTTCTGCGGCTCTGGAAATCGCTTCTGTGCATGCCTAGATGCTGGAAATCGCGCCTGCGCACTTCTGTGGTGCCAGAAATCGCTTCTGCGCATGCCTAGACGCCGAAAATCACTTCTGCTCAGGCACGATTTTCGGCGTCTGGTCATGCGCAAAGTGATTTCTGGTGTTGTGGACATGCGCAGATGCGATTTCTGGCGTCGCGCTGCGCCAGTCTGGCCCACAGAGGATCTCTGCGGGAGTGATCCGGCCGGTGCCTGGTAAGCCTTACCGACCCCTGCTTTAGCCGGTAAACAATGACAGTAGGTAAATGATAAACCAAATGGGAAGTTCATTTCAAGACGATTTTCACTCTGCGCTTCAAGTACCCCCAATCATAGTTACAGACTTGAGAACAGACACGCTGTGAGCTCAGTCACATACAGCCATAACAAGCACCTGCAAATAGCTTCTTCCTTTTCATATTAAATGCCAGAAGCGCTGTGTGTGTGTGTGTGTGTGTGTGTATTCTTATAATTCTCGTTCTAATTCAGGCATGGCACTTAAAAGAAATTTAAAATTAACGCAATCACAAAAGATCTTGAACAGGTCAACTGGAGTTACGAAAGGGTTTTGTTGTCCGCAGCCTGGCATTTGCAGAAAATTACTGACTATCTGAAATACTGGTTTTAAAAAAGAAGCAGCTAAGAGCACTGTTATTTGGTGAGGTGCAATTTAGTTTAAAAGGTGATTGCACTGTGATTATAATTCACCCCTAGTTGATTTCTTTTATTGTGTTAAAAACAGCCTATAGTTCATGTTCTCTTTTAAAAGTCCTGCAAATTCATAGGACGGCAGATGTGTACTCTGTCTTCTGGAACCTGAGTCTTTATAACTCTGAAAGCTATTCTTATTCATGCAGCTAGAAACTTGTAATCCTTCAAAACTCATAGAGTTGGAAGGAACCTGGAGCTGGAAGTCCTACTCCCTGACTCCCTGCAATGCAGGAATGTGCACCTGTCCCTTGCAGGGATCGAACCTGCAACATTGACAGTTGTCAGCACCATGCTCTAACCAACTGAGCTCTCCAGCTATCCCAATAGGGGGAAATGTAGACACCAAATGACCCATTTGCCAGGCTGCAACTCCAGCTCAAGAAGAGGAGCTCCAGGGACAGCAATTATCTGTTCCTGCTCCCTGCAAACATAATATTGGAGGGTTCCATTTTTAAAGATTAAAGACCCAAGTTTCTAGTCCTGCTGCCAGTTGGAACCAATTATTGGTACTTAGATGTTAGCAGAGAGTTAGTGCCAAGCTGCAAAGGTGCCGGCTCTTTGTGAGCCAATGGCTGCAAAAGGAGATGTTTTTGGTGAAAGTGGGGTGCTTCAGACGGGGGGATGGACGGCGACAAGAAAAATTCCTTCCTTTAAAAAATAATGGATACTGTTTGGCTGACTTTGCATGCAGCAGCTGCCCTGCTATTGGTAGATGTCATGTTCTCCCACAATGCCCCACGGTCCATCTCTCTTCTCACTTGCACAATACCTCTGGAATAACACTGCGTCCTGGTGTTGCATTGTTACCAGTGCGGCACTGAAG